AAGGAGCAAGTTTCTCTCCCAATCTCCTGCTTTACCGACGGAGGCTGAGAAGCGTGTTGAGAAGTACACGCCAAAGAAGTGTCAAGGAGAACCCCTTGCTCATTTATTGTTGGCGCCACCGGAGTTAACAACTCGAAGGCAAGTTCTCGACCCTGCTCTTCCCTCATTTTAGAAACAATAGGGAGACAAATTGTTTAGCACGTCTAATCATCATCTTGACAGCTTTTTCCCATCCTGTGACTTTTCTTCATGGGAAAACCTCCCTCCGCCATCGGGGAACCCTTCGTGGGACAAACATTATTTGAATCCAACAATCCAACCTCAACCATCCGTTCAAAAGTCTTCAGTTCAGATACAACACGTTTTCCGAGTCGTTCAAAGCCGACTTAACCATCTTCTTCATGGCCTGGAACACCAAAGCGCAAGCCTCATCGCTGATGGGTTTAGAAAACTGTTTTCCCTCCATACTCAACACCATTAAGGGTTTGTTTGGGACAGCTGCAGCTTATTGAATAAACTGCTGATAAACAACTGGTCCAGATAAGCCGTTGAACAATAGCTGATTGGATTTTTGATTTATGCTGTTGGAAAATAACTGATTTGCAGCTGTTTCTGGATAAATGATCATTCTACCCATATGCAGTAATAATGTTTGCAACAAAACTGTCATAACAATATATTTGATACTTGAGAAATAAAAAAACACTTCAGAACAGTAAAAAAATAAAATACACACCTCACATAAGAGTGAGTGTCAAGTGTGCTGAAAAAAAAAGTATCAAATTTACAATTAACACTATGATAATATTAATTTTCAAATCCATATGGCATATACGTCATCCTCCAGGGATAGCATCCAACTCCGATCACTATTGGAAATGGAATCTGTCGGACTGTCAGCCTACCGAAAGAAGACACTTCTCCAAACCATCTGCCCACTGCGGGCACCCGTAGAACTTTCTCTCGTAGCTATGTGTCCAACATAATGTCAGTAGAAAAGTCTGTAGTCTGCAGTGACAGAACACTCGTAGGGAGGTCCCTTAAATCCTGGAACTTATCTTTCCTGAATGATTAAAAAATCAATCCATTAGTCATAACAGAAGCTAAAATTACTAAAAAGAAGTAATAAATTACAATTTTTTTGTAGGCATGAGGTCTAGAGGAACTTAGTATAGCAACCTATGAATTTGTCACTACAAAAAAATAATTGACGCTATAAAGAAAAGAGTTCTTAATTCTCTTTAACCCACGTAAAACTAACATCATGTGTGCCACATGTGTATATCACCAAACAAGACCATTCACAAGAGCCTCATAAATTGATGCACTGAAAAGAATAGAGAAATCTAATTGCCTGCACAAAGATTTCACATGTAACACTAAGCAACAACGACCAACATGTCATCCAGAAGAACTCACAAGGTCAAAAGTCTTATCATGGACCTTACAATCCCACAAAAAAAAAACTTAAATGAAAAAATAAACAATGTTAAACACGTTAAAATTGCAAAACCAAAAATATCCATAATACAAATGACATAAAATATACTCAAGAGTTCATAAAATAAACAAGAGGCGTCCAATCAACATCGAATATCCCAATAAACAAGAGGATATCCCTTACAAAGGTGGTATCCGCTCTCTGAATTCAGCCAACTCTACGACACCTTTTCATGTGATTCCACTTTTGACTGTGATACAGATTGTCCTACGTGAAATTTAAATGCTTCTGGAGGGACCTGCATGTGATCATCGTCAGTTAGGGTAAAGTCTACATCTGACCTAGAATGATATCGTCGAATGTAGTTGCGTAGCGTCATCGTGAACACCAATCTGCATTTATTTTGGAAATGTGTAAGTCGACATATCAAGTAGTATGACTCATTTCTTCTTCCACACTCCAAACGTTCTATCAATTACGTAGCATAATGAGTGTCTTTTGTTAAATTTCCTTCCTTTCATGAGGACCACTCCTACATCTCTCGAAATTTAGAATGTGATATTTCGTATCTGAAAATGGCCTCAGATACCACCTTTGTAAGGGATATCCAGCATCGACCAAGTAATATTTACCTTACGCAAAAACCATAATTAGTAGTATACTATTGAAAAAAATGAATGTGATATATAATTTAATGAACCTGGAAGTATGTGGGGGAAGTCGTGTCTTCGGTTTCTTGTCGCACGAGCAAAAGTACGACTATTATGCACATTGTCTTCCCAATCAGCCATCACAAAGGTAAAATACATGTTAAAGTCACATGCGATCTTCAAATTTTGTGTGGATGATTCACACTGTCCAATGTATGCGACATTTTCAGTGTTCGATATTTGCGCATCGACGTGGTTTCCGCAATCATTCCAATACAGTCATTTCAGATTAGTTAAAGTTGTGATTATCACGTAACTAATTTTGTCAGCTTAATGTAATGTGTTTAAAAGAATTACTTTGAAGAATGACATATAACGTGGGAGCTTCCAAACTGATAGGAGCTTCCAAACTGATTGAGAAATACATGTAAATTGTCTTTGATGAATGCTAGAATCACTCCATCGCTCATCTCATTGATACATCATGTAACAAGCACATCACCCACACCTACCAAAACAGCCTCCACAGCCACCATTAGGCACATCAACTACAACCACCAACACAGCCTCCACATGGAACCAACAAGCACAACACTCATAGCCACCAACACAGCCTCCACAACCATCAACACACACACACATCTACCACCAACCCACAGGACATCACCACAGTCTCCATCCAAAGAAACCATACCAACGAAGCAACCCTAAATAGCCATTAGAAAAGGTTAATCACGTAAAGCCTCATGCACCCAATTTACTTCATATATTATCCAAAAAACATAAAATATCCCAATGAAATCTACAAAATCGGGAAAACACAAAGAGAACCATTGCAATAAAAAAAAAACCTCACAAAATGCATATAGAGAAAAAAATGCATTAGAGAGGCCCCAACCAGAAAAACTGAGCCAACTCACCAGCAAGCAATCGAGAAAACAAATCTGCTACAAATACGCCTTATAGAGGTCCAAATGAGCGGCTTCCACTGTAGGAGAGTGATGAAAAAGAGAAATGATAGAGGATGACACCAGCAGGACACGTGACGCCGTGAGTGAAGGTGTGGGAAACTGAATCTGGGATCTCAAAAAAGAGAGGAAGGAGAAAGCTAGGATCTGTCAATAGAAGCAACTAAGGGAGAGGCGAGGGATAAGTGGCCTAGGGCAATAGCTATCGAGCAAGGGAGGAGACAGGCTGAAGGGGAAGCGAGGAAAGAGGAAAAAAAATGTCGGACGTAGGATTGAAGACGCGTGCCGCGGCGTCGATCCAGCGACCACATTTATTAAAGAAACTCGGATGGTGTTTTAAGATATGCAGGTAAAACGCAATAAATAAACGCATGAGATGCGTTTTCAAAATGCAAACGCAGCAAATAAACTGCCCCAAACATACCCTAAGAAGGTAAAGACCAACCCGAAGGAATGCCTGAAAGATAAGCCCCAACATCTCATTTTTTTTATTTATAATGATCTTGGCACTGAAATCTAGTAGTTAATTATTGCACATTAAATAGTCATGAATACCACAAACTTGTTCAAAGAACCTAGATTTCATTGTCTTTATCACACCTATCACTTTTAATGAGCAAGAGAATTGAAAATTTTAATATGTACATAAAAAATGTGTCAACACAAATCTCAAAGACATCCCACGACTAGCAGAAGAGGTGATGTGGCATCGTGGGATCCACCAAGGATGACCAGGACCGCAAGCTTAGCCGGCTAGCTTCTATGTAGATAACACTTCCCGAGAGGAATAAGAACAGATTATCTCCAAAAAAATCTATCTGAACGAACTTATATGGTCGAGCACAGTGCCCTCTATTGTGACCATGTCGAGTGAGCGGGGCAAACTGTCCTATTTCAAAGCTATTGGCATCAGTCCTTACCAAGTGGACATCCGACCCAATGACCTCCCGGCTTAATGGCCACCTAGTTCAATGATCGCCCGAACTAACCATGACCGTTCGAGATTAGCTAGCCTAATGGCGGCCCGACAAAATGACCACTCGACTGAATGGTAGTTTGACCCATTCGTTTGGACATTCATGAGCCCCCATGCCACATTTATGTACAAAATAAAGTACCCTCGTCGTACCTACATATACTAAGGGTACGACCCCCATCCTTATAAACAGGAGGTCTATTTCGCGACTAAAGATTACACACTTTTATTGTTCACTAATCTTTCTGATCTCTTTCTTTTTGACGTGCTCTATTCCTTCGGTGTGACTCTCGGACATATTGGGTAATAAAATTGTCATATCAAACACATATAGCAGCGTACGCTTGTCTCTCATGTGTTTGGATGTGATATTTTAATTAAAAAAATAAAATGATAAATAGATGTGTCCAATAAAATTATTATGAATATAAATTTTAAATTTAAAGAACATTTTGTAAGCAAATTAAGCTAAATTATTTTTATTGAAAAGTATACTATTTAAAAAATTCATTTTCCTCACATAAAATATTTTATTTTTACTATCATCTATTTTCCTTTAATGGCTACTTTTAGTTTTTTATTAAAAAGCACAATTTTCTCAACCTCAAGCTAGCCAGCTATGATATCAAAATATAGTTTATTTAAAATTAAGTTTAAGCATTTAATAAATCTAAATATTCTTTTTTATTTTATGAGCGAATGGAATAAATTTATTATTACATAAAATAATTTTATTTAATTTATATAATTAATACGCAACTTCTTTATATTTTTAAAATATAATAGTTCAAATTCTATATTTTTAGTAACAGAAATTTTATGTTTGCATCGATAGCATCGTAGAAGGAACGGTGCAATACATATTTTCTAATTTATGCATGCAAAAGAGCGATGGAAAGAAAACTAGATGGCAACATATGGCAATTGCAGTATAGTTGCAAGGAAAGGATGAGGAATTTACTCACTGCAATAAACGAATTGGTTGAAGTCCAAAGTCACTCTTCCCTGCTTAGTTGCGTCGAAGGAATTAAAAAGATTTCTGCAAAAGTACCGAAATCAGAAATGAGCTTAGTCAAATATCGAAAGAGCCCTTCGGGTTGCTAATATTTTTCATTTAGAACTTAATTTAATTTTTAATCCTATCACCGGAAGCTAAAGAATGTTTGGTTTCTATTAGATAACGAATGTTCTCAATAATAAAAAATAGAAGCAAAAACATAATGCATTAAAAGTCGAGTTTCGATTTTAGCTTATTATTTATTATTAGCATTTTTAAAGACCCTCCATTAAAAAAAATAATTTCCAAATAACAGTTCAGATTATTAATTTTTAAGAATAGAGCTTCATACTTTCATTGATAAGAAAAGAGTATAAATACACATTACAAAACTCAAATAAATAGAAAGACATTCAAAAATAGACAAACTAGAAAACACATAAATATGAAAACGAAAGCAAATAAAGGTTAATAAAAACTGCAGCAGAGATTAGACTAATAATTCTAATATCCACTTAAGTTGAAGCATAAATGTCCATTATGTTCAACTTTGATTTGAAACCGTCAAAAAACAGACAAAAAAGATTCTCAGTAAGGATATCAGTGAATTGACTATTAGATAGGACAAATTGAATACAAATCTCTCGTGAATCTAGCTTCTCCTTAATCAAGTGTCGTCAATCTCTACATGTTGGGTGCAATCATGCTAAACCGGATTATGAGCAATGCTAATGACGACTTTATTACCACATAATAGTTGGAGAGGAGCAAAGACCGACAAATGTAATTCACGGAGCATGATGCATAACTAGAGAACTTCACAAATATCTAAGAACATGGAGCAAAACTCGGCTTCAACACTTTTCTAGGCCACAAACGACTGTTTTTTATTTTTTCGCGTGATAATATTTCCCCACACAAATGAGCAGAATATCCCGAGGTAGATTGTTGATCATGGACGAATCTAACACAATTCACGCATATAAACAGTAATAGAAAAAGAGGTGTGGCGCGAGAAAAACAAACTTGAGTCTGGTGTTCCTTTTAAGTAGTGAAGGATCCTGTGAACAACTCGATGATGGTGCTCATAGAGATCATGTATGAATTGACTCACAATATCTACTCCGTGGAAGATGTTAGAGCAAGTATGGGCGAGGTAAATTAGTTTCCCAACAAGATGTTGGTAGTGAATCTTCTTCACCAGAATCGCATTAGGAATATCAACTAATTTCTCATTGGGATCCATTGGGACAACAACTGGTTTTGCTCATTCGGTGTTTATAGATCAAGCACATATTTGTGCTAAGACAAACAAATGCCCCTAGATGACCAAACAACTTTCATGCCTAGGAAGTACCAGAGCAATCTCAAGTCCATTTCAAATGAAGTAGCAATAATGCCTTTTAGAGGCTCTAATGTTAGTGTATCATCACCTGCGAGCACAATATCATCGACATATACAAAAATAATAGCAATTTGGCCGTTAGAGGAATGTCGAAAGAAGAGAGTATGATCTGATTGGGCCTGAGAAAAACCATGACCCATTACCATTTTTGTGAATTTGTTAAACAGACCCTTGAGGATTGCTTCGGTCCATAGAGGGACTTTCGTAGTCGACACACTTGCCTCAAAAGAAAACAGAGTCAAACCTTAGAGGAAGGCATATGTACACCTCCTCTGTGAGATTCCCATTTAGGAAAGCATTCTTTACATTCAACTGGAGCAAGGGCCAAACCAAATTCACAGCCAGAGAAAGTAGGACCTGAATGTTATTTAATTTAGCAACCGAACCAAATGTCTCCTCATAATCAACTCCATATGTTTGTGAGTAGTCTTTAACGACTAACCGAGCCTTGTTGCATTCAAATGATCCATCATAGTTAAATTTGGTGCAAAAAATCCAATGGCACCCCACTGTTTTTTTACCTAGAGGAAGATCCACCACATCATATGTATGATTTCACTGATGGGAATTCATCTCATCCATTATTGCAGCTTTCCAAGAAGAGTCAACTAATGTTGCTTCAATAGTGGACGAGAGATGATGATCCGTGGAGGCAGTAGCAAACGCTTTGTAGGTTCGTGATACACTGTGGAAAAGATATTTTTCATGGAATAAAGAGAGCTTGACTGATTACATACCTTAATAACAGAACTCACCTCTTCATTCAGAGTGGGTTAGTTTTAGGGATGTCGCTCAAAGTGGATTCCAGATCCTGTAACGAGGTAGCGGGATCCAAAGTAGGAACATTAGGAAAAGTGCACCTAGTATAAACACAGAGGATAAGTGGAGGTTTTGGTTGTCTAGTAGGTGGCAGATGTAGAGAGGCAGAGGGCTCCTTGCGTATAGTGGCTGGAGAAATATCCACAAAGTTCGGATAAGGAATATTGTATAAGAAATCAAGATTGCCCTCACTTGAGGCAGTGACAGAGAAATAGAGAATAGTTTCAAGGAAGGAGACATCAGCACTCACAAGGAGTATTTATGGTAGGATTAAGACACTGATAGTCTTTTGGAGTGGCAGAATATCCGAAGAAGACACATTTTACAGACCTAGTATCAAGCTTACTATGAATAGGGACAGCGCTCCAAACAAATACCGTGCACCCAAAATATTTTGCTTCAAGAGTGGCGAAGAACCAATTGATAGAAAAACATGATATCAAGATGGCTAATGAAGTTCTAAATTTATGAATTTTTGTGGGGACTCTACAGATGGCATAGGTGGTAGCAAGCACGGCATCATTACAAAATCTTTTTGGGACATTAAATTAAAACATAATAGAGTGAGCCACTTCAAGAATATGTTGATTTTTTCTTTTGGCTACCCTCTTTTGTTGAGGAGTGTCCGTACACGAGCAATGATGGAGGATACTCTTACAAAAAATTCACCTAAAATAGAGTTACAAAATTCACGGCCATTGTGGGTTCAAAGGATTCGAATTGAAGTTTTGAATTGGGTTAAAACGAAGGAGTGAGTTTTTGAAGGTCGCAATAGTTTCAGATTTATCTTTTAATATATACACCCACATCATTCGAGTGTGGTCATCAATTAACTCAAGGAATCGTTGTTTATTAGTGTAACTTGAAGTGTGAGAGAGTCCCAACAAGTCACTGTGAATAAATGAAACAGGAGCCGAAGGCGTATAAGGGTTGGGTGGATAAGGAACGCGATAATGTTGACAAATCTCACATTTGAAGCTAATAAGATTTTTATCAGTAAACATTGACAGACAATTGCTTTAAATATTGATACTTGGGATGACCCAAATAATAATGCAACAACATAATCAGACATTCAGTGGATAGAGAAAAACTGTAACTACTAAGAGAAGTGTCTTCATTCTCCGTGTCTTTCACTAGGAAGAAGTAGTTTAACAGTTGCAATCATCCTCCTCCAACGATGATCTTGAAAGACACATACATCAAAAGAAAAATGAGAAACGCGATCCATTTCATGTGTCAGCTTACCAACATATAGCAGGCAACACTTCATTAAGGGAACATATACCACATATTCTAGAGTTAGGAAAGTTGTTAACACAACTGATATTTTAACAGCAATAGAGTTACAAGAGCCGTCAACATGTCATAGAAGTTGAATCAATGCCTATGGGCTAGAAAAAGAAGTGAGTGTCTTAGGAGTTATACTTTGACAGGCTAGGGAGCTTGACAGGCCAGAAGTGTACTGACTGGATCCTAGCAACTTGATTAATTGCTCCATCTGACTCTTAAGAGAGTTGAGAGATTTCAAAGTGTTCCGAGTGGGAGTTGGTTGTACCGTAGCAGATTCAAATGTTGAAATGAGACCCTTGGCAGAGGAGGATTTGGTTGAAAATTTGTATGTCAGTTTTCCATGGAGTTTCCAACACTTGTCTAGAGTATGGTTAGGTTTTGACAGTAATAAAAAATGAAGTCAGTGGCTTGAGATGGCATGGACAAGTGTTGAGTACTATTAATGGCCAAGGCAGATAATTCGACTGAAGTGGAAGTGTTGAGCATGACTATTCTCTGGCTCTCTTTGCGTCAATTTTTTATAAAAGCAACATGAGTGGAAGGAAGTGGATCCCGACAACTCCGACTTCATCGAGGTCTTTGTTAAGGCCGAACAAAAAATTGGAACATGCAATCTCTTACAACAATTTTTTTAAAAGTGGGAAAAAACTGTCGGAGATTCCCACATATAGTCATAATAGTAGAGATCACATTCTGTCCATAACGTCACCAAATTATTATAGTACTAGGTCACAATCCTAAATCCCTATTTCACCTCGCGAATCATTTTGGAAACCTCATAATGTTGGCTGGAGTTTCTACATTTGATAGGTTATCCCGAACTATAGTCCATAGGGCAGTAGCCGAAGGAAGAAACATATAAGAATGGTCAATCGTAGTCTCCATGGAGTTAATCAACCACAACATGACATGAAATTCTTCAATTCCCACGCTTCATACACGGGGTCAATTTTAGAAGGTTTACGAATCATTCCAATGAGATAGTTGAATTTCCTACATCCCTTTACGAATACGGACATGGCTCGGGTCCAATGGAGAAAATTAGAACCGTTCATTTTATAGGTGGTGATTAGAAAGTTCATTTGGTTTTCCGTACCTTCGGTCTATAGAGAGATAGAGATAGGTGCCTACCATCTGATGGACTCAAGTACACCATCGAGAGAAGGCTCGGTGTGGGAGAGTCGGCCATGATTCCAACAGAGCCAAATGTGATGTTGGTTTGTCGAGACATAAGAAGATCTTGGCCGCTGAACAGAGGAAAATTCGGTGCCTGGAAGGAGCCGTGGAAATAACAACAGGGAGAATAGGTCGGCTAGAGAAAACTCAGGCCGGCAGATAGAATCTACGACAGCTGGAACAAGCTAATAGATGCAGAAGAGGCGCAACAAAGGAAGCACGACAAAAGAAATAACAATAGGGAGCACATGTAATTGGTCAGCATTGATCCTAGCGGTAGGAAGAAAAACAGGAGAAACTACAGTTGGCCGGCAGCAAAAATCCTGCCGGTAAGAGGCTCTAGGGTTAG